AAGTAGTAGACTATGTATACCTTGACTGTTTTTCTAGTAAAAAATTTGATTATCTCGAGGAAAAAATGGTTAACATCTCTGTAAAGTGACTACTTTGTCTCGGCCCAAATGATGGTTACTTTAAAGGGTTTTTATTGTGCTTTGAGAGATGTTCTACATTCTTTAGCACAATACCATTGCCATAATAAAATATCAAGGCAAAAATTTGCCTTTTAATATTTGGATAGGAAATAGAAACCGCAACAAGATTATCTATATCTTTTTTTCACTGTTAAAAAGGGACGCTAATGCTACTTAAGACTGCTCATACCACTCTTCAAATATTCTTAGGTTACTATTATTTAGAAGAAAAATTGTGAGAACATAGTGCATTTTAACTTTATGCTTTGTAAACCTTTATCGATTACTCTACATTCAAATAACTTTGGATAAATATTGAAAGCCTCTTGAGTGAGCTTATGAAAGAAAGAGGCAGTATTCAAATTAGATATTATGTTTTTATCACTTTTATCTCATTTATGATCAGAATTATTTGTATCATAAAAGTATTTTGATGATATTGTCGTTTTTTGTTTGAAATAACTTTTAAAAATCGTTTGTATTACTTGGAATAACTATTTTTATGGCTAAAATATACCTTACAGGTAAATACAATTACTAGTTTCCAATTAACGGATGTTTATTTACTATATTAACAACATGAATACGTTTTCTCTACCGGATATTGTCATTTTTTTCTATCTCTTATTACGCATGACAAAATGTATAGTGCCTATCTAATCATACACCGTTATTTTCTATAAAAATGTCTAATATATATATATATATTTTTCTTTTGTCCAATTTAGAGACTAATTTTTTTTATTATGGAACGACAACTATGTGAAAAATGAACGCTGGATGCATCAGATTAGTTGAATACTATGTAAACGAACTTAACGAAACTTAATGATTATATCTTATTCACTAAGTATGTAATAGATCTGAGAAATTTACAGTTTTTATATTATTAAGCACGATTAGTCATATCGATTGTAAAGGAATCGAAGGACTTTGATTTCTTATTCGAGAACAGAGAAGGAATAACAACTTTTTTGCTATTAGGCAATTACTTTGTGTTGTGCTGAATGCGCTTGCTCTCGCTGAAGTAGTGCTTACTGTAGACTCTATGACAGAGTTTCTCTGAAGTATTTGTTGGAAATCATCTTTTGTCACAAAGTATCCCTACTGTTTGTTATTGTTGATCAAGTATTTATTTTATCGCTGCACGTTGTGTTGTCGATCGATCTCACGAGAGAACTCCAAGTTGCAAATCGCTTTTTCGATGAAACTAAGGGGGATATGGAGAATCGATTGTGCTGATTCCGAATATAATGGTCACAGCTGCCCTTAGTTTCTTTAAGACTAAATTTCCAGAACACCGATTTTTCAGAGTCAAAAAGTGTTTTTCTAAAAATTCATTTCTGATCTGTCCAGGCTATAGAGCATGTCGAATTATCTAACTAGAAAATGTTTTTTGATCATCAGTCATTTCCTGATCGACCTATGAACATTTTGAAAAAAATCTATTGTAACACAGTGTATATGTGTGCACGCACGTCACGTGTACTCATTACAACAAAGAAAACACCTGATATATGGCAGAGAAAGGAAAAAGAACGACAACAGACAGATTCTTTCTCCTACGCACTTTTCTTCAGTTACAATAGATTTTTTTCAAAATGTTTATAACTCGGCCAAGAGATGACCGATGATCAAGAAACATTTTCTACATAGGTAGTTTGCATTGCTCTATAACCTGGACAAATCAGAAATGAACTTTAAGAAAAAACTGGTTGACTCTGGAAAACAAGTTTTCTACAAATCCGATCTCAGAGGGGCTAAGGATAGCTGCGATTATTATATTCGAAATCAGCACTATCGATTACCCAGATCCCTTTTAATTTCATCGAAAAAACAATTTGTAATTTGGAGCGGCATCCTCGTCAGTATTATTTCGTCAAATTTTGATTCATGTGGGGTTGAATGTGATGTTTTGATTTGTCATAGATATTTTTAAACTTAGCTGTTATTTGATTGTTTTGCTCTTCGTGTTTGTTACATAAACGTTAGATATGTAACGACTGTAAAATATAACTTCAAAACCCATTTTTACTTAAGATTACAACATCAAATGAACTCTCATTTGAGTTCGAAAGAAAAATCTAGCTATCTGTTTGACACCAAAGCGGTTCTAGTATAGAGATTATGTATAATACATAGTATTAGAAAAAATGTGAAACTATCGATATATTCTGTGATTTCGAGCGAGTTTCTGTTAAAATTTGAGAGAACAACGATATAGTAACGATGCATTACAACGAGAAGACTCCATCAGATGTAATCATATAATAAACGACCAGTTCATGAGTAATTAGATAATACTTGACTATAATAATGTCAATTCTAGGCTGGTTTTATTCACTACTTTTCTAGATATACTATTCCAGTAATAATCAATAGTTTGTATATCTATTGTCCAAAAATTTTTGGTAAATGCTTTTTTATTAAGGTTTTTATGATCCAAAAAGTATTGTTATGAGAAAAATGGTCGGACAAAGCTAATTTTACTAAGATAAACTTATTCATTTATGCACAGTAAAATAAAAGGATAATATAGAATGTATTCTGAATTAGGCTTTAGAATATGAAAAGTACTCAAATTTATACCATGCTATTCGTCAATTTTATTAAAACATTAACTATTCTAACTTTTCATCCGTTCTTATCCTAACACACTGTATTGTCTTGTTCTTACATAATATGTTTTATCGTTTGTTATTCAAGAAATTTTGATGTTAGTTGTTTCCATTGTCATTTATTAAGCCGTTGCAGTCAGGCTTTTTTCACTATTTTGATCCCTTGTTTATCTGCAAATGAAAGTAATTTAGTGTCAACTGACATTTGACACTGTTTAATATTAACGTTTTGTGTGATCAACACAACTGAATAGATTTTGTGTTTATCATAGGACGCGGAGGAAAATAAGAATGATGCGGAAGGAAAGTGAATGAAAAAACTAATATTTTTAGTATTGTTGTTGCAATTTAGTGTGGAATTGAAAGTTTGTTATTAAGAATCTAACAAATAAGGAAATATCTCTTTTCACATACGATATCCCATGTGCGATACATTTTTTCGCCTCAGCGCGTCGATAGAAAAAAAAAGAGAACAAAAAGATAGGTATGTGAGAAAAGAGATATCCTCTTATTTGCTAGTTCTACATTATTCTGGGCTTAGTTTTATTTCGTGATTGATGTAATGACATTTTATTCTATACCTGATATAGACGAGGACAATTCAATAGGTTGATAGTCTATGAGATTCAACATAGTTTAACAAAAGTTATGATTATAGCTGAAGCAAAAAAAAAAAAGCTCAAAATTACGACAAAATGTATGAGAAATTGTTGTATAAGTTAAATATTGTAAAACTTAACTGTCGATTAATTGTAATCTAGCCTTGATCAAACTTGTTGATAAAAAAATATTCATTCTCTCTTTATTTGTTTTTTTATGTTTAGAATGATGAACTGTTATATGAATACCAATATGTTTTTATATTGATTAATGCATAAATTCTAACACAGGTAACTTTAAATACCGTTTCCACTACTTATGACTCCATTTCCATATTAAAAAATGTGATCATTTTCTTTCCCATTATCGGTTGGTACAGAAGAGGTTAGAAAAATTCCGATTCATTTCTTTTTTTTTTAAATTACTATTAAAGAAAGAAATACAGCTGAGATAAAGAAACTTATGTTCAGTTTCTCTGTTTTATTTTTTAGACAAGATCCAACTCTTTTTCTTTTCTTTTATGCTATCACATTTTTAAGCCGAAAATGTTTTTTACATCAAACTGCCACAATTCGTTGATATCAACAGGTTCGTTTTGCTAAGTTTTTCTCCTATTTTTTGCCCAATTTTTCGAACGTTTTTTTTGTTTTTCTATTTTTCCGCTATTTTTTAATCCATTGTCGTCTCTACCGAATAATTATGATGGCCCAACAAACAAAGAGTTCGGACGATGAGTATGGTTTTCAATGCTGGCAATTTATCAGATGTTTTTTCGTATTTTTTATTTTTTATTTTTGAATTAAATTCGTTTTTTTTTCGAATACTAATAATATTTTCCGGGTGTTTTTTTTTTCTCTAAATTTTAGATCAATATTATTGCTTCGGTAATCTCCCTGATATGACTAAAAACATACCATTGCTATTTGATACCGTTCTGTTTTTAGCTCTCAAAAACTGGAGTTGTAATAGTTTATCTAGCTTTTAAAGATTTCTGTTAAAGGTTGTACATTGTACAGTTCGATAAAGATCAAAGATCTACTTATTTGATATTTAATCTTATAAATTTGCATAAACCATTCACTTAGAGCTAACAGCAAGAATTAGTTGAACAAAAATAAAAAAAAAGAGTTATATTATTTTAATGAATATTTGCGAAACTCCTCACCTGTCTTAGTGCATGATTGAAAAAAATTAACTCAGTTCTTTAGAATTTGACTGACACAATTCTTCGTTACTTTTTTCCATTTTATTTTGTTTGTTTTTTTTTCACTCAATTTTTAGATCATTTTTAAATTTTGATCCAACACATATCTTGTGTAATAAGAGAAGAATAAGACTATAGAATATATATTCGTTTTCATTTTTATTTTCATCCTATTTGTCAATACGAATTATGTGAGTTTTTAATTGTTTTGCTTTTTCTACGTACACCATCTAATCATCATTTTTGGATTCTACAATAGCCAATTAGAGAGCATACAAAACTCATTTTTCACAGGAATCCAGCAGATCATTTTTTTTTTGGGATATATAAAAGAGAGTCGAACTAACGTCAAATTCAGAAATTTTTAATATAAAAAAAGTCAGACTTCTGGTTAGACTAACCTCCATTGCCAACATGTTGTTGTTTTTTCTGGAATTTTATATTGACTCTAAAAAGACATGACAGATTTTGATCTCATTTATTTTAGGGATAATGGTGGAGCATCGGTTGGTGGTAATGATGGTCAAACAAACGGTGTCACAGCAATTGGAGGAATGGGTGGAAATCCCAGTCAACAAATAAGTACAACCGTATCAAGTGGACGACCACAAACAAATTTTAAAGCAAAACGTGGTTTTCCACGTAATAATAATCGTTATGATCCAATGGGACGAGGTGGTGGCGGTGGAAATATGATGGGTACGAGTTGGGGAGGGCAACCACAACAGCAACAACAGATGGGTGGTGGACCTTATGGAATGGATCCATTTCAGCAAGGTGCCTATGGCATGCAACAACAACAATATCCTGGCTATGATCCATATTATGGACAAGCAGCTGCCTATAATCAAGCCGCTATGTATGGTGGACAATATGATCAACAACAACAATCTTTCATGTACGGGCAACAACAACAACCACAAGGTTTAATTCCTGGTGACGGTATAATACCACCTGAATCCCCTAAAGGTGGCCATGTAGTATATGTTTACGGTATTGGACAACGAGCAACTCAACAAGAATTAGTTCAATTGTTCAGTCAGTTTGGCCGTGTTTTACGTGTTGATATTATTATTGATTTTAATACTGGACTATGTAAAGGTTTTGCATTTGTTGCTATGGAACGTTATCAAGATGCACAAATGGCAATACAAAATTTAAATCGAGCCCCATTTCATGGTCGACCATTACAAGTTCGATTTAAAACAAATTAAAAGTAATAATCCGTGATAATATGAACTTGTTCCCCTTTTGTCTCAGTTTTCTGTGTTACTATTATTATATCGTGTCTGTTTTACTCGATTGTATATGTTTTTGTGTTTAATAGAAACAATAAACGTGTGTAAACGTTGGTTATTGTAAACGCCAAATAAAATGTTGAGTATTTTCTTTGTTTAAACAAAATATTATTGTAATTGAAAAAACCTGGTTATACCCGATGAAGAGAATTTTAAGTTGAAGTTATTAGTTGAAGAAGAAGTTTGTTGAGATTTATTCTATTATTCATTCTATTCTCAGAGTAATAATGTAGCACATCTATTTATTCTATGCTTTATTTGATTAGACTAGGATATCTTTAATTATTGCTTCATTAACCGCATTGTAGTACGTCTCACTAACAGTCAGAAATAAAGAAACTGGAGAGAATAATTCCCTAACAACTTATACATTTGTAACCCATTTTTCAAATTCTTAAGCGTTAAGGGGAGTTTCGATTGAAAAAAAAAGATAATGAATTGATTTTATACTTGACAAATCTAATGCACACATTGTATGACAGGACTGAACCTTATTTTTGTTAAAACCTCTTTTAATCTACACTATTAAACGTATAAGATTTAAAATAGTAAAGAAAATGTACAGATTAGCCGATGGGTGCTAACAGAAAAGACCTTCATTGTTCTGTTCTGCTCCACTAAGTAAAAATAATACCATTGGACTACAAAAAAAGTTTTATTATTAGCAAACTAACTACGAATAGTTTAAGGTTACAAAATATTTACTTAATGTAGGAGGGAGGGGTCCTCAAGTGTGATAAAAGTAGAAATATTTTATTGATAGAGTTCAATTTATTGTTTTGCTTCATTTTGCAAAGCTTACTCTTTTTCATTTTGCCAGCACAACTTTTTGCTTGTTTATCATTTTGATCTTTTTGTTCAATTTAGAACCTATTGGGTTTTTTTAATTATTTCATTTATTTTCTGTTTTCATTTTTTTATTTTTTACTTATCATCATGGTTGTGGGCGCTGAAGCATCTCCACCATTAACAACAACATCGGATTCTACTACCACAACTTCAATACTCTCATCGCCATCTGGCTCATCGTCAAATAAAAGTTCATCAGAAATCACAACGACATCTTCATCTTCCACAACCGATGATAATTCGTCAAAACATAGTTTAATCGTTAATTATTTACCACAATCGATAAAACAGAGAGAATTTTATCATTTATTTTCTAAAATTGGACCATTAAAATCATGTAAATTAATGTTTGACAAAGAAACAGGTAGAAATTATTGTCCTATTCAAATATCTTCTCCTTCTCTTTCTAACGAATGCACATCTATGATTTGTTAGGTTATTGCACGATTGTATCTAATGGAGTCCTCCTCTTATAATGCATCGCTACTGTATCGTTGTTTGCTCAAATTTTAGCTTCACTTGAAATCATAGAATATATGAAAGTTTCTCTATCTTTTTAGGATATTCATATGGATATGGTTTTATTGAATATACAACAGCTGATCACGCTGAACAAGCATGTAAACAATATAATGGATATCAAATTGAACACAAACGATTAAAAGTAGCTTATGCTAGACCACAATCACTAGAAACAAGAAACACAAGTATGTTTATAGACTATATTATTAAAAACTGGTAAATATTCTACAAATTGAATTTATTTAAGCTCTTTATATAAAAAATATACCGTGTCATTATGATGAGAGTGTATTAGACGATTTATTTGCAAAATATGGCAAAATAATTCAGACACGTGTTATTCGTGACCAAGATACTCAGTCATCAAGAGGCATTGGATTTGTTATTATGGAAACACGTTCACAAGCGCAACAAGCGTGTCAAGAATTAGACGGAACAATACCGAAAGATGGTCAAGAACAGTTAGTTGTCAAATTTACCGATCCAGACAGTAAAAGAAGAAATATGGTTAAAGTATTAGGGTAAATATTCAAAAAATGTTTGGTCAGAAAGAGCAATTTACAGTCATGTACAAAACTATAGAAACAATTTGTTTTTTAACGTTTTTAGCACGATCGTAATTGACAGAAAAAGCAAATCCAAAAAGTTATCTCTATAGCTGAAAGTATTTTCAATCTGGAGTGATGTGTATGTAAGTTGCTGCTATGAGGATCTGTAAAAGAGCAGAACTCAATGAAATCAAGTTTTGAGTTCAATCAACGTTTTGCACACAGCTCAGTCGGACTGAACACACTTTTCTAGGTGCGACATCCCCGAGCTCTCCTTGACATTCTTATATTGAACTGCATTCATTATACGAAAGGTCACAGGCATTGTTATAGATTTTTCCGATTTTGGCGGGCTAAAATCGTTTGTACAATGAATGCAGTTCAATATAAGAATGTCAAGAAAAGCTCGGAGATGTCTCACTTTGTTTGGAAAAGTTTGTTCTGTTCGACTAAGTTGTGTGCAAAACGTTCCCCATTGAACTCAGCGACTTGATATCGTAGTTCTGTCCTTCTACAGACCCCATAGCAGCAACTTGCATACACATTGTTCCAGATTCAAAATTCATTCAACTATTGAAATCACTTTTTGTATTTGCCCTTTCTATCAGTTACGATCGAGCTAAAAACGTTAGAAACAAATTGTTACTATAACTTGGCACAGGACTGTAAGGAAATCTAGTGCACGTAACATTGTAAAAAGATGATAAACTTTTTTTATAAACGATTGTAGTTAAGTTTTGATTTTGTTCTTTCATCTAGTGAACATTATGGCCATGGTAGTGAGATGAACGCAGCGTGGGGAATGTCTCCACAGTATTACGGAGGCAGTGATGAATTTAGTTTTGATCTTATCAATGCAGATAAACAATATCAAATATCAACATTAACAAATTCGAACGATAAAACAGTTAAGCGTTTTCGTTCAAATCGATTTGATTCAACTCAACAATGGCCTGCTTCATCGTCTACGTTGGCATCTGCCTATTATGAACCATATTATGCTTTGACTGTCGCAGCAGCTGGAACTGCATTATCAGTAGGTGGTTATCCGCCACCTTCATACAATCAAGCGTATGATACCGGTCTCTATGGACCTGGTCTCACGTCAGCCGCTGCGATAACAGCATCCTTACCTCAGTTCGATAATTCTTTAAATAAAAATATCGGATATTTAGTTTATGTCTATGGCATCGGACAACGAGCAACTCAACAAGAATTAGTTCAATTATTTCAACAATTTGGCAGAGTTCTAAAATGTGACATTATTATTGATTTTAATACTGGGCTATGTAAAGGTTTTGCATTTGTTGCTATGGAACGTTACCAAGATGCACAAATGGCAATACAAAATTTAAATCGAATGCCGTTTCATGGAAGAACACTACAAGTTCGATTTAAAACACAATAAACTTACATCATATCAAAACTGCTATTTCTCTCCAAAACATAAACTTTTTGCTTTAGAGATATTGTGATCTTTTTAGTGTGATTGTATTTTTTTTATAAAGAAAACGAAAAAATAAAAAGTCTTCTATTGATCTTAGTTTTTAAAATATTATTTGATACTTTATCACTTTCGGGAAAAGTATTCATATAAGAAGTAGATGGTAGACGACAATTTTACTATGTTTGAGGTAAGCACATTTTTATAGGATAGATGCAAAAATATTGTATCCTGCACATCTCTTGTACCTGGTGTAAGAATTCTAAATTCTAGCAACTCAGTTACTATGCTGAAAATTGATGTTATTCCATCATCAATCGTTATTTTCTTAAGATTTTAGTAGTTCTTATAATTGAAATGATAAATCAGACGTTCGTTGTAGAAAAAACTATATTTTGTACTATATAGTCTTATATATATTCTAAAAATGATTAACGTTTGTTTATACTTCAGTTGAGTTTTTATGCCTCACTATTTATGAACAAACATATATCATATTAAGGCTAAAATAATACTAAAATGCATACAACTATTGAAGAAAAAGCCAAATGACAGTCAGTATTTTATTACTGAGTAATCTGTCCCAATGTCTGATAAGAACTTCTAAATCAAAATTACTCCTGTCAATTTTTGTACGCTATACTAGTCTTGCTTTGTATGATAAAAATATCACACTTCCTTTTTACTCTTTCAGATTTCAAAAGAATATTTGATTTATTAAACGGTTAAATAGTAAGATGTGTCCTTAAACATTATTTGTCAATGAGCCATATTTATCTCTTGATGAACGCGCTGATTATCAATTATATTAAATTACATATGATGCCAGTGTATACCTGCACGTATCAATGTGAATGAAAAAAAACATAGGTTTTTTTTTCTATCGTCATTTTATATCAGTGAAAAAAAACTGATCACAATCGTATACGTTGTAATAAACGATATATTTGGGTAAAGATAAGTAAGATACAGTCACTTTTTCACACTATTACAACGAGTCGAGATAGGATTAAACACAATTTTAATGTTTATAGTAGAAAAAGAATTTTTTTAGAATTTTGTGTCTAATTTTAATGAATATTTTAAATTAACGGTAAACTACTTAGTGAGTAATCAACTATTTATTAATGGCGTTGTTGATTGGTCCACCAATCAGAAGTACTGAAATTGATGCATATTTATGCACTGGAAGTGCATAGAGGCGTTGCTTCATACATATGTTGTTGATCAATAAGTAATTTTATCCAAAACTCGTTGATTCCAAAAGAAAAGTGACTGTAATACTATACTCATATTACGTAATATTCATTCATAAGGGAAAAAAATGTTTCAAAATAAAATGAAAAGATTTTTCTTGAGAAGATTTTGATTATTCTGTCATTTTTAAAAAAGTGACGATAACAGAATTTTCGTTTCAACCTTGATGAATTGATGAAACTCTTCTATTGTTATTTTTCGCTTTTTTTAATGTGAACAAACAGAATAGGAAAAGATTACACAAAATCTGAGTTTGAGAATGGGTAGACGCCCCCCTTCAGACCACTACTACATCTGTTTAAAAAAAAAGAAACTTTGTTAATAAGAATGACTATTCATCTACCATGTCTGGTATCCTCATGCTAGTTTATACTATCATCTTCTATGTTATTCTGTTATTGTGTCTTCTTCTTTGAGCATCACACAAAACATACGTTTTTCGAAATTTGTATGTTGAAGAGATCATAAAATGATGAAAAAAAACAAACCTGTTTAAAGTTTATTTAATATCTAATTAAAATATCTCATCTTTCATTAAGCGTTAAATAAATTTATGAATGAAAATATCACCGTGTGACAAATCGAATATCCCCATAAGAAAAAAGAACAAAATGTCTCATTCTTTTTTAGTAATACTTCAATGTTACAATTCACTATTCATTCATGTCAAATAAAAAAGTTTGTATGAACGGAAATCTAATCTGTATGATGTTCTAATAAGAGAAAAGAAGTAAAAGACTAAATAGATTAGCAAAGAATATTGAGTCTAAAAGATAGAGAAAACTATTTCATTTTTTTTGTTGTCAAGTTAAGATGAATGAGAGGAGTACTTCGCCATTCCTATACAGATGAGCACATTTTTCTGACCTATATTTTTGCTTTGAATGAAATCTTTTATTTTTTATTTTTATTCTGTTTGTGTATAATAAGGTGTAGAAAAGAGTTCATTTTATTTAAAAAAATTATTATTGAAACTTTATGTTTTAAAGAACTCAATTTTCAAATTAGAAAGGCATCTCTTGTGTAGACATCATCCTAATATAGTTTTCTTTACTAGTTATATAAATACACATCTTCGAAATCAATGTGAAACATTAGCAGAAAGATGATTGATTAACATACATGTATGTACATGCATACGATATATCATTTTTATTGTATACTCTTCTCTATTGTCTCATAAACTTCTCGTTTTTATGTTGTATTGCTTGTCGTTTTTTTTGTATTTTTTTCTTTAATTAAATATTTGTTTTTATAGTCTGTTTTGATGTTTTTTTCGACTAATTGGATCTTCTAGTGAGAGATGTGAAACAATGATAAACAACTTGTCATTTTTTTGGATACATGAGACTTTTTTTGGTTTTAGAGTGAAGCTAACATTGATGTTCACTTTATATCTGAAATTTACGAAGAGAACCAAATATTTATAGAGTTGGATATTATGTGCTTTACTCTTCTTCAATATAGTCATGTAATTGTGATGTTTTTAATTCTAAATGTCTTCTTCGAATAAGCAGCAACAAAGATTGCTATATGTACCGTTGATATTCTTTTGTATGCTTTTTGTCTTAATATCAGATTATTTTATGATTGTTGTACATCTTTGAACATTTTTAGATTTATCTATTGATCCGTAAATTAAGAATATTACGTGTGCTTTAATGCGTTTATACTTGATACAATGATGTGAGTTGTTTACTGTCTAAAAACAACTTTATCTATTCTTGACTTTCAGCTTTTTTATCCATGAGAAAATTTATATAAAAATGAATTTACGTTTAGAAAATTAACAATAATAAATATATTTCTTATCAATCTGAATATATCTAAATTTAAGTTTTGAACATGAATAAATCAAATTTAGATAAAAGTTATATTCGAAAATGATAGCAACTATTGACTGAATTAACTATTTTTCCTCCTCTTAGCTTATTGCTTATGTCTTTCTTTCTTCAAATAAATTTTGTATTTTGAAATTTATCTATATATTTGTTTGCTTTTACTTTTTAGGGAAAATTTTCATTTGAATGATGGTGTTGAATCAAACGAGCAACAACAGCCAATAAGTACAACTGTAACAAATAGAATGAATCAGAATCATTCACAACAACAACAGCAACATCATCAACAATATCAATCTCAATATAATCAACAACTATGGGGAATGAATAATAATAATAGTGGCGATCCATATCATCCACAAGGACAACAGTATCCTTCCTATTATGATCAAGCTATGTATGGTGGTCAATATGATCAACTAGCAGCTGCAATGTATGCACAACAACAGCCACAACAAATATTAGGTGATGGAACAATACCACAAGAATCTCCAAAAGGTGGTTATGTTGTGTATGTTTACGGTATTGGTCAACGAGCAACACAAGAAGAATTATTAATGTTATTTCAACAATATGGTCGTGTTTTACGTGTTGACATTATTATTGATTTTAATACGGGATTAGGTAAAGGTTTTGCATTTGTTGCTATGGAAAGATATCAAGACGCTCAAGTGGCTATACAAAGTCTCGATCGTATGCCATATCACGGTAAACAATTACAAGTTCGGTTTAAAGCAAATTAAATTTAATTTGTTTGTTTTTGAAAACAAGCCGTAACTCGTCCATTGTTTTCTTGTTTTTCTGTTACTTTTTTTTTTGTGTTGACGTATATAAAGATAAACCAGATATTGTGTACGTTTTATTTTTTGTTTTTGCATTACTTTTTTTGTAAGTTGGTCTGACGATAATGTTCAAAGAACAAACGATTATTCCAGCTTGATTTGAACATTATTTTTGTAATTCGAAAACATTTAGTTTAACTATAACTGTCTAGAGGATTGACCGGTTAATGCAGTATTGCGATGAGTGAAGAGAAATACATTTTTTTTTTAACAATTCCAGTTTATCGTCTGCCGAAAAATAAAATTTATTCATAAATATTTCACTCTACTTATAGTATACATATATTCCTGATTATCAGGAGTTTCTCAATCACAAATCTTTATTAGCATATTCTAAATTAGTTGAAAATATGACATTTTCAACAAATTATTACCACAAATGTAGTAATAAATCACTCGTGTATCTAGGAGTATTCCAATTTATTTCATCTCTCGATAATGTGTACATATTTCAATATTTTATACACATTCAAAAATCGTAGAAAAGAAAGAAGAGATATACGATCAATCTTATGTTTAATCGTTTATGTCTCTAGATCGAAGAAGGTTCTCAATTACTCTCACTGTTAACAAAAAAATAAAAATAAGTATAAAGAAGATTGACGATTAAACTCAAATCTGTATACGTATTGTATTTATACAATCGAAATGTTATGATGAGAAAAATAAATAAATAAATATCCTTCTTTCTTTTCTCAACGAGCGATATGATATATTAGTAAGAAAAATGAGAAAAAAAAAAAGAAAGCTCTTAGTCATTAATCATGCTGTATATTTTGAACAGTGGCGTATCCCAGATGACAATTCAAGAAACAGTGGACAGAAAATGTCTTTTATCGAACCATAAAGTAAGTTATGATTGACTCGATTTAATATCAACAACTCACTTTATTCTTTATGGCTGTATTAATCAGATCTGTTGTTATTGTTGTTTTTATACAGAAATTCATTAAAAATTCTTTTCATATTTTATTCTTGTAATGGTACAATAAAATATCTTCATTTGCAAAAATATTGTCAAATTTCATTGGTATTTTAGATAGTTTAATGCTATATCGTCTATATGCTATCAAAAAGATTTCTCCCATACCTATTTTATCTCAAAATCAAAAATTATTTTTTTCAAAATCTTTTACATCATCTTCAAAACATCGTCATCGTTTCTATATCTATTCCGTTGTTGCTGTAACATCAACTGCTGTTTTGGGAACATTTTATTATCGATTTAATCGAAACAAATTTGATTATAATCGACGAGAATATGTTAAAAATCTTGAAGTAATTGAATATAATCTACTAGAACGTAGACCTATACTCGATTCATCAAATATAAAACATATTACATTTGATCAACCATCACGAAAAACATTTCCCTATAAATTAACTGTCTATGAATCTATTCAATGTCCATATTGTTCAAAATTACGAGCTTATTTAAATTATAATCGTTTACCCTACAATATAATTAAAGTGAGAACTGAAGATATACAATGGTCACTCTATAAACAAGTTCCAATTGTTATTCTAGAGAATGGTGAACAAATACAACTTAATGATTCAACACAAATCATATCTGCAATAGAATCCTATTTTCTAACACCAACAAAATCATTTCGACATATATGGAAATTATATCAACCACTAGTAGAAAATAATAAGAAACAATATAAACTAATATATTCTTATCCAAATAAATATCATCTCATTCAACCATTGTCATCAGACATAATAGATCAACAAAACAGACAAATAGACGGTAAGAAGAACTAATGTATTTTGTCTATTATTCACATTGGAAATATCTCACCGTTTATTAGAAAATAACAATAATCTCGATTATTTTTGAGTTGTGATTTTTATTATTCGTTTGTCAGAGAGTTTTTGCATCTTTTTATACAATTTTTTCGAAATCTTTAGCAAAAATCAAGTCACCATTTTGATAAATATGTGTTGCAATTGTTTTCTAAAAAAATAGAGTCAGGCAGTGTTCTTCATCTTCGATTATTTGTGCGTACCATTAGCTTTTCTCTAGAATTTCATGGGTGATACGAGGTAGTGTGTGATACAACTGCAGAATCTGCCTGTTTGCTCCGACGGTCGTCGGGGGAAAACTTATTGATTTAGGGAAATTTTTTGAAAAATTGAAACAAATTTTTGTAAATATACTGCAAAACGAAATTCTGTTCGTGGATTATATCAGAGAAGTTTTTGAAAAAACTTTTTCTGTCGAGGAAAATTTTCCAATTTCACGGGTAGACACTGCACCTCTGGTGTGTGGGATCCTCACAGATGGTTCATAGAGAAATAATCGACTAAAATTCTGAAAACCTATTTTACATAAAATAACACATTTTAGAGTAGGATGTGAAACAGCTTTAGAAAGCATTTAAGATTTAAACATTTTCGCGTGCCTTTAAGTTGATCAACGTATAAACCGGCTACAATAGACTGTGTTTTCAGACGATTTTGAGTGAGTTGTGAATTTTTTAGTCTTGCATGAAAATAGCTTAAAATATGTTCGTTCTCAATAAGTTTTCGAATTGCAGTCGATCAATTCTGTTCCAATCAACTCTGATGTGTTCCACAAGTGGTCTGTGAAAATGGTAAATTGGTTTTTCGAAGAGATTCTGTAAAATTTATATGCTATAGAAAGATGTAGAAACTCTCTGACTATCGAATGGTAAAAACTACAACTCTCTAGTTGTTGTTAATCAGAAGTTATTCAAAAAATGGTCACAATCATTGCTCATCCAGAATTTCAATAATGTGTCTTTGTATGTCAGATGTTATTTTAATATTTCTGAAGCCACCGCTTGGATTGCTTTTAATCCTTCCAGACTTACAAAAGACCTTTAAAACACTTCTTATTGTAGAATCAGGTAGATTTAAAAAGCTCAAAATAAAATAGTAGAACAAGCTATGAATCATCATTAATTGAAACTAAAAACATATTGAAAATATAACAAGATAAATATCTATTAGACTCGTGATTACCTTGTGAAAAGAACAAATTTTTATTTTATTTTCTCTATTTTATTTAGATGATCTACTATTATCATCAAAATCTAGAAAAACGGAACGTCAATGGCGTGAATGGGTCGATGCAAAATTAATTCCATTATTTTCATCTAATGTATATTTAACATTACGTGAATCATTGGATAGATTTTATTTGTATGCTGAAGCTGATAATTGGATGAAAACATATCCATGGTATAAACGTTTTGTAAAAATTAATTTTGGTGCAATTTATATGTGGTTAATTAATTTTAAATTATCAACAGATGTGCGAAAAGAATTAATTGATTGTATTAATGAATGGTTGACAGCTATTGGAAATGATCAAAACTTTTTAGGTGGACAAAATCCAAATTTAGCTGATATTAGTGTCTATGGTGCATTGACATCTATACAAGATTCGAATACATTTACCTATTTAATTAAAAATACAAACATTGAATCATGGTTTGAAAGAATGAAACAAATTATTGATTTACGAGTGAATTCTTCTTAAATATGTGTAAGACTTTTTTTGTATATATTATTGTGCTAAAATACAGTATGACGACTGTCATTATCGACATGTTTACATTTATTGTAAAATCGTATTTAATCAACGACTTTACAAAATAGTTAAATCATACAAGGCTATACAACTAAAAGAAAAATCATAAAGTTCTGTTAAATATTTTGATTTAGAGAGCTTGAAATATTAAAGCAAGAATTTTTTTTAAAATTTATTAATTTTTAAAGAAGTCACGCGTATGATGACGTTTTGAATACTTCTCGAATACCTGATTTTTCTCTTTAGTATCATAGCAAATATTTTTATAAAAAATCCACCAGAAATGATATTTTTAAAGTTTTTAGAATTTAAGGATAAAATTTCACTTTGAACTTTTCATAAAAGTTCATTTTTTCATCTAAAATCGGAATATAAATCAATTTTAAAATATACTGTTTTGAGAAGAAGGGAATAAATGCTACATCGATGACTTATAATCTACTTTACTTGAGAAACCCAGTTTATTTCAACAGAATTTTAAAAACTGCTTGAAGATTAATTAATTTCATGTTCAAAATTGTACACTGCATTGTCTATCTCAAGCCTTGCTGGAAAATCTAGATACTCTGTTATAAACTAAATAACTCACGCTTAAAAAATATAATGAATGCATACAACAACAGCAACGTAATCCAACACGTGAAGAACATTGTCGACAAGGTTTATACTATTATTTTCATAGACTAAACCGTTGTGCTTTTGAATGTGTATCGAAAACTTCATTTTAAAATCAACAGCGGCCATTTTATCGATCTCAATAGCAACCATAACAGAAAAACGCCAATCAACACATCTGACTGTTAGAGCTACATGTATAAAAACTGATGAATCTAGTCTCCGATGTCATGAAATTCAAGAACCAAGAAAAATCCGTGAACCAAGTGCAGTACACTCTCAGCGTACTGTGCTAGATCCAGATGTTGATATTTATATTAATTGAATATTAATATCAACATCTGGATTATCATCAGCTGCGAAAAATTATCCAGCATTTGAATTATGGTTACTGCGCTATGAAGTTTTCAAAACTAGTCTCGAGGTTAGTGGTTGAACATATACAACACAATAGTGGTTTGAACATAAGACACTGGTTTCAGTAAAATAAAAACGGCCGTCACATGTACTACCACATGTGTCACATGGTCAGTGATGAGTCATTATTTAAGTTGATGCCCAGGGGCCAGTTTCTTAAAAAAACGTAGCAAAACTTGAGTGAAAAGTCGTCTTAAGTCAAATTTTTTAGCTAAGTGTTTCTTAAACATTACTTAACTTAAGCCACCTCTCGATCTCACTTAAGCTTTGTTGTTTAAATTTTGTAACTACTTTATTTGAAGTCCGTAATCCATCCAACCCATCATAATTAGACTAAAACATAATTTTTCAGAGATTTTGTTTTAGAAAATTGCTGTGAAGCAATCTAAGTTGTCTAAAATGTGAATAGTTTTTACTGCTTGACCTCTGCCTGACTTAAGTTTTTTTAAGAACGCACTTAAGTCAGAACTTAAGTTTGACTTAAGTGCGTTCTTAAATTTTGACTTAAGTTGAAAAGTTTTTTTTAGAAAAACACCTCAGCAAAATGATATACTGGGAATTTACATTCTTGATTTCCTTCTGGTTCAAGATTAAAGCTTAAACCAACTACCGATGACCCCAGTCACATGTATCACGTGGTCAATGATGGGGTTGAGATCGAGAGGTGACTTAAATTAAGTAATGTTTAAGAAACACTTAGTTAAAAAATTTGACTTTTTTTGAAAAAGACGACTTTTTCACTTAAGTTTTACTAAGTTTTTTTTAAAAAGCTGGCCCCTGGGCATCAACTTAAATAATGACTCATCATTGACCATGTGACACATGTGGTAGTACATGTGACGGCCGTTTTTATTTTACTGAAACCAGTGTCTTATGTTCAAACCACTATTTTAGTCTAGAGACTAGTTTTGAAAACTTCATAGCGCAGTAACCATACATTATTTTTTCAATCGTCAAACGTCATGTTACTCACAAATGTTTCTTCTTCCATATGAGATCGAGAAAAGTCGACATTTTTTTCATCCTAAACACCTCTTCATTAGCGATAGGTCATGGCCTACGTGCAATGGTTGATATACTGAAGCGGGCGAACGAAAAGAATAGTGGTATCGTTATAGTCATATTTTTCCTGTGCTCTTAACGCAATATTTTTCCTTCCCCTATTATATATCGTTAGTGAGAGAATGAAAGTGAACTTATTTCGGCTATTACGTCTCTCAGCCCATCACTACCACTTACACTACATCAATGGGTATTACTACG